TGACACTGGGAGTCTGCCAATGAAATGCCTATCCACGGTATACGTTGCTCATTTCTTTCACGCTGTGTCTAAAACAACTGCACTGGTAAGTTCACAGAGTCACCAGCTTAGACTCTACATCAGACAAATCACACCAAAGTACAGCACTTATAATGTCAGCTTCTAAACATGTTTCTTGGTGACATAATGCTTTTTCAGCATTTCCACATATTCATATTCATTCCTAACAGATGTGTAAGGGTCTGAAATGACAAGCTTTTTGTTGTTGTTGCTAATAAGACACATAAGATTCATGCATCATACCTATGAGAGCAGTCTCGTAGCCTTGTTGTTTGACAACCTTGGCAAACGTAATCTCCTGGCTGGGGAGACCTCCAGATGCTGCATTAAATAAAAAGACACCTGGTCTGATATAACCAGCGATACCTGGAAAGAAAGAAAAACAAAAACAAATGTGTGACTTCAGCATGCATAAAAAAAATGACTCAATTCACAACAATGTGCATAAAGAGTTTTATAGACAGTTTTATTATAATTGGGCTCAAAGCGATCTTAAATAATTCACTAAATGAATGGCCTCTGTTAAAGGTGGCTGTGTTTAACGCTCCTGTATTCTGGAAACTTCTCCACCAGGCCAACATTGAGCACTGCTCCTGTCGGGGAAGCTTGTTTCTGTGTGCAGCTTTTAACTGGCCTGATCGCACTGGGTATCGTCCGGTGAGAAATGCTGCCCTGCTGGGAGTGCAGAGGCTGGCTGCAGCAATGTGGTGGGTCAGCTTCACCCCTTCCTTTGCCAGCTGGTCAATATTGGGGGTCCTGCAAATCACATCATCAGCAATTACAGAACAGGTTTCTCATCAAAGCAGAATATGTCAGACTTGTCAATGCCTGAAATAAAGTTAAAGCAACTTATCTCCAGCTGTTGCCCAAGAATCTCTTACTCAGTTCTTAATGCCCAAATTTTCCAATCAATCACAAATCACCACTTTACTGTTATTTTACAAAATCAGTGTCCCTGTTTCATAAAAAAGGTCTTATCAAAGAAAAACTATGACTTAGATAAAAATCAGTAAACAAAACTAACCGGGACACGCCGCTGTGATCATTCTGAATCTACTCAAAAACACTGGAGATGAACGTAAATATTTGAAAGCACCGACGTCTTTGCAGAATTAAAGCTCTATTAAAATTCCACTCACCTTTACTGTAGCGAGATAGAGAAAGAAATATCAGAAAGAGAACCTCGACAAATAAAACTTACTGCATGGAAACAAGAGCACAGGAATAAAATCTCATTCAACAAATATAAAATGGTATGTATGTATTTTTATTATTGCACTTGGATGCAA